CAGTTTATGCTAGCCTTAGTTAGATAAATTCATTGTCAATGCAATCTTTATACTCTCTACACTCCATTATTCTAGACCCAACACTTCCCAATTCTTGTGCTCTTCTATGTTTATTTCACTTTTGCTCTTCTACTACTACTACTACTATTACAGAGTCCACAGGGAAAGGGGGAGAGAAAAAATGTGTGTGTGTGTGTGTGTGTGTGTGTGTGTGTGTGTGTGTGCATGCTAAGTTCAATTCAAATTTATGTCAGTCTAAACTCTAAAGAGACAGCTTTATACACAAAATCAGGTATTTGGAAATTAGATCATGACAACCAATGGAGAATTTAGGTCACTGAAAAACATTCAGATAAGTATAGAAAAGAAGAAAGAAGAAAATTAAAAGAAAAGAACACCAGTCATTAGTGCAAGAATGGGTTGTTAAATGAGATTGCCAGCTCATCAGAATGTTTTAAAGTGCCATTGAACTGCAACACTCACTGTATTCAATGCATTCTCTCTCCCCCTTTCCCTGTGGACTCTGTAATGAATGTCATATCTTCCTCCTCAATTATAGCACTACATGGATAGTGCTATAATTGAGGAGGAAGATATGATACTCATGGATTGACTTTCATATTCATTTAAATTTGGTGCTATTCAGCATATCTTGGATACATTTGGGTGATGTCTTGAATGAAATACATTTGTTTCAGCATTCCATCTCTTTAGAAATGTTAATTCAAAGGACTTTTGAACAGTTTTAAATATGGATTAAGATTAGAATTATTGAAGTCAATATTCTAGAGCAGGGATGGTGAACCTTTTTGAGACCGCATGCCATATAGTAAGCATAAAGATGGTTGTGCATGCCAAAGTTTTAGACTTAACCCTTGACTGGTTTCGTAAATTTTACAATCATAACTGGTATCATGGGGGCTGCGCAGCCCCCAAGCAAAATTTGCTTTTAGAGAGCAAGTTTAACAGTATGACAGTTCAAAAGTGCATAAATGCTAAATGGAACCCTTCTTTAGTATAATCAACTTTTATTTATTTATATAATTTTCTTTACTTAATTATTACAAGAGATCACAAAATTGTTACAACTTTTGGTGTATGCTTTTTTTAACAATACAAAAATCTACCCTATTGTAAGTTTTTACCAAAGATATTTTTTTTCTTATTCTTAAGAAACTAATCTTATAAAAAAGTATCTCTTATAGCCTCTAACTATCATTTGTTAAAAAACCACAG